TATACATTAAAAAAAAATTTAAAAAAAAAAATATATATATATATTGCATTCCAGAGAACAAACTGTGTTCTTCTGGTTTTATTTATATAGTATTATAGTATTTAAAAACATTTTAAATTAGCTTAGCTGAGATTTATTAGTTTTAATTTAGTTTTTATTTCAGTTTTAGTAATTTTACTACATTAATCTTATTTTATATATTTGCCAAATTTTATATATTTGCCAAGTTTTTTAAGCTTACATTTTTCATTTAATAATTATATTTTATGTTATTTCAGCTTTATTTCAATAATAGTTCAAGATTTAGTTAAATACAATAACAACAGAAGAAATAAATCCATACAGCCATACATACAACATTCATTTTTGGGTGAACTGTCCCATTAAGCATATGAATTTGATGATGGATAATATTGAAGCTTCCCAGCAAAACAGGTGGATTATGGAAACATTTTCCTATCAGCATGAGCCCTGCATCACAACGTCATCACTCACTCTCAGAAGGGCAATCATCGCTTCTATGTTTTTCTTTTGGGTGGTTTTATATTTTCCCTCCTCCAAAAATGATTGCAAAGCATTTAAACTCTTCCTGCCACCTTAAAAGCATTACCCATAATTTTGGTAGGCACCATATCGGCAGCATTATGTCTTAACACATCCATCGTTTCATATGACATGACAGAGTGCTCCACCTTATCATAAAGAATATCAATATCATCCAAGTAAGAAAGGTCAAACAAAACTATACCCCCTCCATGGCAACACAAGAGTTAGAAAAGGGCCTTTGTCAAGGACAACTTCCTGTAAGAAAAAACAATGATGACCTTCACAGGCTAAACTATTTTAAACACAAATCTAATCCCCAAAGATTCTTTTATCAATTTTCTTCGCGAAAAACAACAACAACCATTACTAGGGCAATTTAACAATACAGCTCTTTGTACTTAGATTACATGGCTTCTGTGCTATTTTAACTAAATTACCTATTTATTTCAGCAACGAGCAGACAAAATTAGGTCCAAAAATGCGCAGAAAGCATCACGACACAAATAGATCCTCTATTCCTGTTTAAAAGGAGAGAAAAACAACCTGTCCTCAAGCACTGCAGCACACAACCTGTCAATTTGAACCATCAGCTGATAAACCAAGGCGTCCGTAAGCCATCATAATGAAAGTACATGATTCCCTCTGGACATTTCTGTGTTTGCAACACTGCCATAAGAGTAACATGAGCTGCGTATGATGTCAACATTAGTTTAAAGATAAATGGACGGACACACACAGCCATTATGTAAACATCAATATTGATTTCTCAAGCCGGTAAGTTCCTGCGCTGTCAAATATGGTGCATTTGTGCAACAAGAAGCATCTGGCAAACTCTTGGTGTGAAGGCACTGAATTAGCAAAATGGGAGGTAAAGAACAGAAATACAGCATCACCTACCTTGCAGCCTCTGCATCACATTCATAATGTCCTTGCTGGACCGTCCGAAAGGGCTGAGGGAAGCCATGGTCCCTCTCTACAGTCCTGTGCTCCTCTGACACTGGATCACTTATGCAGTCCGCACAGTAGACAGAAGATACTGCACTGCTTTCCTAAGGGGGCATCCCCATCTGCCCCTCCTACAACTCTCTCTTCCTCTTGCTTCCTCTCTCTCACTCACACTCTCTGATGCAGGAACTCCAGGAGCTTGATGTGGCCCAATAGAAAAGCAGGTTTCATATAGGTGCTCGACCAAGTAGTCGACCAATCAGAAGTCCTCTTCTATCTACAGTCAGTGAACCAAGAAGGAAAAGTAACAGCAAGGGTGTCAGGACAAAATCACATTGTAAAAAATACTTAGATGAGGTAACATATAAACTAACAGGTTTAACTTAAGCCAGATTTATACATTAATTATGACTAAATAAATATGGTTGCAAACAAAATAACAATTTTAGTACCCTAACTTTCAGTTAGCTGCCAAAGCAACATTTCTAATTTTCGTTAAGTTTTTCATTTAATATTTATATTTTATTTCAGCTTTATTTCATTTACTAAAAACTATTTTTAGTAGTTTGAGATTTAGTTAACAGTTACAACACTGCCACAGAAGAAATAGTCATACAGGCAATGGGTGAATAATGCTAACAACATTTTTATTTTTGCATGAACTGTCTCTTTAAGCATGCAAACTTGTTGATGAATGATACTGGAGCACAAAGAAAAGTCATTTTTAAGAGTCAGCTCATCACTCACTCACTCTCTCACTCACTCACTCACTCTCTCTCTCTCTCTCTCTCTCTCTCTCTCTCACTCACTCACTCTCATGCAGGAACTTGATGTGGCCCAATAGAAAAGCAGGTTTCATATAGGTGCTCATCCAAGTAGTCGACCAATCAGAAGTCCTCTTCTATCTACAGTCAGTGAACCAAGAAGGAAAAGTAACAGCAAGGGTGTCAGGACAAAATCACATTGTAAAAAATACTTAGATGAGGTAACATATAAACTAACAGGTTTAACTTAAGCCAGATTTATACATTAATTATGACTAAATAAATATGGTTGCAAACAAAATAACAATTTTAGTACCCTAACTTTCAGTTAGCTGCCAAAGCAACATTTCTAATTTTCGTTAAGTTTTTCATTTAATATTTATATTTTATTTCAGCTTTATTTCATTTACTAAAAACTATTTTTAGTAGTTTGAGATTTAGTTAACAGTTACAACACTGCCACAGAAGAAATAGTCATACAGGCAATGGGTGAATAATGCTAACAACATTTTTATTTTTGCATGAACTGTCTCTTTAAGCATGCAAACTTGTTGATGAATGATACTGGAGCACAAAGAAAAGTCATTTTTAAGAGTCAGCTCAAACAGAAAACTGCACTTCATTAAACTTCATTGTGTTTCTATGTACTGTATGCACACTGTAGTCATGCTGCACATGCATGTATGTACACAGACCACGCCCCTTTTACTTCACTAAAGTTGTTATTATTTATTTGTCAGTCTAATAATAATAATAATCTATGGACTTACTGACTGATTACTATTATATGGAAAAGAACTTTAGCTACAGGAGCTAGTCAATAATTAAAGAAGTGCTTGCCCACCAGGGATAACATTTCATCTTACATGCACATGAAATGCATGATAGATTTGTATGCATATTAATCAGCCAAAGTTATGCACGTAACTAAGTGAAGACAACAGAAACTCAGCAACAAGATATATATCTGCTCTGCAGTCAAAAGCATGCTTACAGATTACGCAGGATATCTACTGCGCAAATTTCCAAGAAAACCAGCCCTGATTTATCAGAATACATATTCTTTGGGTTTGTAAAGTTGTTCATTCGTAGTGCGTGTATTACCGTGGGCAGATGATGCTTCCGTCCCCGCAGGGCTCTGGTGTCTCATGTGATGATGATGATGGTGCAGCGCTGTTACACGGGTTGCTATAGAAACCTTTAAACAATGTTGCAAGGCCGTGTTACTTCATGTGACCTTTACCGCCACCTATCGGTGATACAGGGAACAACAAGGGGGCGTTTACACAGCGTTCATGTGTTCAAAACAGAAACAGAACGCAGTCTGCTATATAGAACGACAGATAGATGATAGAACGATAGATAGATAAATAGAACGAACGATAGATAGACAGAGCCACTAGCTACATCACAGGCTACATGGTTCAATAGTGACATCTACTGGCCATTTCTGTTTTTGTAATAAACTCAGAGCATGGATGTCCTCCCCATTGTTTTAGGACTAAATTATCCTTCACTCAAAAATTTTGCACGACTCAGTACACCAGGAGCTTTCAGTGACTGTTGAATTTGGACAATACATATCCTCTCCCAGTTTCTTCTGAGAATGCATGCATCTTTAGGCAATTTCAGTTATAGTACTTAGAGGGTATTAGTAAGAATAATAATAATATTTGGTTCTCTGTTCGTGATATGCCAGAAGGTACAGATACTAGGGCAGTAAGTAAATCCCCTCTGACAGCTGAGAACGTATCACCTGGGGGCGTTTTCATTTTCTTTTGGGAACTGTGTCAAATCAAAACTTGAGAAATGTATTGTTCAGTTTTATCTAACATAAGTATTTGTTAAATTTTCACTCAATCTCAAAACAAATCTACAGCAAAAGAAAAAAAAATGTAAGTGCTGAAAGGTGTAAGTTGGTCTATTATAATATAATGCAGTGAAGAAGCCATTGTATTGTATCCACTGAAAAGAAGGAAATGATGCAAGAGGAAACAGCCCTGTTCCTCTGGATTTCTGTCCTGAACAGATAAGCCTAGCACTTGCTAATTATACAAGTAAAGAGGCAGGAAGAATGACGACAACGTTTCCCTTCATGCAAACAAAAAAAGTGCCATATTCCCTGAGAAATACAGTGAACGGTTCCTGTGGGCTCGGAGTGAGAGTTTGGCTGCATGTTGACATGCTTCTGCTAACTATTATGGCTTCAAATGAAACAAATGCGATTTGGGAAATACTTAAACCTATTGATTTTGGTAAGAATTGGCGTGCATTTGTTTTACTAGTTTGCTTCAGTTGGCTTAGTGTAAATTTCATTTTTATACCTATATAAACTGTGTGCACATAGAAATATATGGTGATTCAATTCAATTTCAGAATGGTTTGTAGAAATGTAACTCCTAATCAATTTTCTATTTTTATTTATTTATTATTATTTTCCCAGCATTGTTCATTTGTTCTAAATGTAAATTACATAAAGTTATGCATGTATGCATGCATACAAAAAAAAATTATAGAAACAATTTTTAATTTTAGAAATTGCTAGTAACTTTTACAATTAATTATAAAGAAATGGCAATTAACACACTCTAAAAAATGCTGGGTTGTTTCAACCCAACTTTGGGTCA